GCAAGGAAATGGCACCTTCGACTCGGCCATCCAGGCCCAAAAGTACTCGAACATCTCGTAAACTGCTCAACGGGAGCAAGGATTAAGGGCTTGACCACCGTTGAGTGTGATCACTGTGGCGTATCCAAGGCAAGACGACAAGTCAGTCGCAAGCCACGAGATACAGAAAACGCAGCAGGACTTCGATTAGCTGTAGACTTCCACGATCTCGAAGAAGACCACGAAGGACGAGACTCCGTGATGTTCATCACAGATCGCTGGTCTGGCTACGTCTGGGATTTCTACCTGACTGACCGCAAAGCGGACACAATAAGGACAGCGCTTGAAATCTTATTCGGCATTCTCGAACGACGCTATCAAATTACGCCTCGCGTAATTGAATGCGATAACGAAATCTATGAAAAGAGACATCAACTGCGCTCCTGGCTAGAATCTCTCTCCATTCTGATCGAGCCCTCAGCGAAATACACTCCAGCTCAGAACGGAGGTGCTGAACGCTCGGGGGGTGTATTGGAGATAAAAGCGCGCGCAATGAGAATAGGAGCCGGATTACCCAACTACCTATGGGTTGAGATTTTCAAAGCTGCTGTCTACCTGTATAATCGAACGCCAAAGTACATCCTTCGATGGGAATCACCATACAGTCGGTTCTTTACCTTCCTCGCGAATCGCGACGGCATTGCCGACCGACATTACAAACCAGACTTACGACATCTCCGTGTATATGGCTGCAAAGCGTTTGCGATGACCAAGGACGCAATGGCCAAGAGAAAACGCCGACAGAAACTAAATCCAAGAGCCTGGATTGGCTACCTCGTAGGTTACCAGTCGACCAACATATACCGAATCTGGAACCCATGGCTTGGTGAAGTTATATCGACGAGAGATGTGATATTTAATGAAGATGAGTATTTCCATGGAGATCTTGAACAACTGAAAGATGATATCCGTGAGCTAAATCGTGAGGAGTTAATCAACCTCCTCCAAGAAATTAAAGAACCAGACCAAACAGAGGAAACCTCGCAAGTGGAATCCCAAGGAGAAGATGATCTTGTGTTTGGCATGGACGATAGATGGGATTTGAGTATGCACCACGGAGTTGATGATCAGACTGAGGACCACCCGAACGTTCGAGTGGCACCGTCTGTAACCGAGGATCCCCATCAGGTGCCATATGCACTGGGGTCTGGAGAGAGTCATCCCAACTGCATAGATACGGAATTGGGTGTAACTGGTCGCATAGATGCGATACCAGGGACACATGATCTCCTAAGAGAAAATCCCAACATCTCACCCAAAGGAGGGACTCCACCACGGCAGGATGCGAACGGTTGGGAGACGTCCCCTCCTAGTATGCTACCTGATACTCGCACGAAGGCAAATGCTGATGTGCAATTCCAACCATATCCAACGCCATCACTGACAGAATATACTCCGGCTGCTCTTATGGCAGCCCGCTTCCAGGGGTCAAATATGAACCCACAAGCACAGTACCAGGGTGATGATTGTGACCCTGCAGGGATTGAACTACAATCAATCATCCCAACAGAAAACCAACAAACACTCAACACAAACTCAAATATTGAGACGTGGAAAGCTGCTTTCGCCGCTGGTCGACATGCCGCACCCATCGGCAAGATCAACGAAAAGCAGATTGACCGAGCTAAGTTCCTCCGCATCCTGTCCCAGCCAAAGAGCTTAGATCGTTCACAACTTCCAGCGCCTCCAAGATCACATGGAGACCTTGCAACCCATCTGATGGGGACACTGTTCAATGAAGCTGAACGCATCCATTTGAATAGTCATAAAGAGATGCAGTCCTGGATTGAAATATCCAGGTCGGACCAATCAGTAAGGAACCAACAGGTACTTGATTGCATGTGGGTATATACCTACAAGTTCGATAAACATGGACGCTTTCAGAAATGCAAGGCCCGTTTAGTGGTTCGAGGAGACCAGCAGGCGAAATCGATACATGAGGACACGTATGCCTCCACGCTGGCTGGACGTTCATTCAGAATCCTCATGGCCGTCGCAGCACGGTTCGATCTCGACCTAGTACAATACGATGCAGTCAACGCCTTCGTCAACGCCAAAATGGACAGAGAAATATACATGAGAATGCCTCCGGGACATCGAAAACCTGGAAGAATAGTAAAGCTCCAGAGAGCATTATACGGATTAAGATGCTCACCCTTGTTGTGGCAGAGAGAACTAACAAGAACCCTCGAAAAGCTCGGATTTGAGAAGGTTCTACATGAACCCTGCTGTATGATGAAGAATGGCATCATGATATTCTTTTATGTTGACGACATTGTCCTGGCATATCAAAAAGGCAAGGAAAACGAAGTGAAACATCTAACAGAACAACTACAACGAAAATATCAACTCACTGGAGGGAGCGCCTTGCAATGGTTCCTAGGAATGGAAATAATCCGCGATAGAGAGAAGGGACTGATCTGGCTCTCCCAGTCTGCATATATAGACAAGATTGCGAAGTTGGCAACGCCAAGTCCAGACCGGTCGCCAACCGTGCCTATGTCTGGGCCTGAGCTACTACCATATGAAGACAGAGCATCACTGGCATCAATTCGCAGATACCAGAAGAAGATAGGGTCAATCCTGTACGCGGCGGTAGT